ATATTATTATTTTTACTATCAATTGTTTATTAAATATTTTAATAAAAAAATATATATATATTTTTTAACCTTTCTTTTCAACATCAGCATCACTAATATATAAACCATTTGATAATTTTGCCATTAAGCATTTTGCTTCTATTAGTAAGCATAAGCTTTGTAACCATAAATCCTCATGAGTTAATACTTCAGGTAATATAGAATCCATAATATCCAATGCTTTATTGTACATTTTAAATTCTATTAAAATTTGTGCTATTCTAGCAGATGAATACATATACAAATTATGACAATGATAACGTTCACTTAATGATAGGCATATTAATAGATTTGCCATAGCGGAAATATTTGATGACGAATTCTAATAAATTAGATATTTTGTATCAATTAATTATATGATATTATTTTTATTATATATTAATATTATCATTACTATTATTTAATAATGAAAGTATTGATATTTTATATTATTGCTAATTTTACTTACTAAAAAAATCTCTGATTTATAAAGTACACTATTAAATTTCTTTATATTACTAGTATGTTTAAAAGTTTTATCTGCAACCTTATTTATAAAATAATATGCCTAAATTTAAATATATATAAACAAATAATAATTTTTTAAAAAAAAAAAAAATTATTATTATTATTATTATTATTATTATTATTATTATTTATTTATTTATTTATTTATTTATTTATTTATTTATTTATTTATTTATTTATTTATTTATTTACACATTGTTCTTGATGGCAAGTATTTAAAAATTTTCCTTTACGAATACAAGAATCAATTTCACTATCTGAATTTTCATTATCTAATGCCATTAAAATAGAATGAATAATCCTTGCATTTAAAAATTCTCGTTTGAAAAGAACCTTTTGAAACATAATTATCATTTTACTTTTATACCATTTTTCACAATGAATTGAATTTTTTGATTTCTTAATTGCATCATTTAATATCGAAAACGCATAACGGTAATTTCCATGAAGAGCATGCTATGGATTTTTTTTATTGACCAAAGACAAATATAAATTAATAATAATAATAATATTAATATTAATAATAATATTAATAATAATAATAATAATAATAATAATTAAAAAAAATATTTTGAATTATAATTATTAATTTATAAAATTTTAATTAATATTGAATTTACCTGTTGTGCCAATTTACAAATACCTAAATGTTGGTCATTTTGCGAAATTCCTTTATTATAATAATTTAATTGTAATTGAATAGCTAGATTTGATAAAATATTATTTCCTTTATAATATTTTAAGTAAATATTCAAATATTTTAGTATTAAATTTATAATATTAAAATATATAAATATATATTCTATATATTATTTACCATATATATTCCACATTGACGATTTTAACAGAAGACATGAACTAAGCATATTTTCTAAAGAATTGGTTTTTGTCATATATTCACTTTGCATTAATGATTTAAAAATTGTTCCTGGTTGTATACCCTATTAAGGAATAGTATTAAATTAATTATTCTAGATTTATAATAATAATAATAATAATAATAATAATAATAATATATCAATATAAAATAATTATATTTAAAATTAAAATTACTAACTTTATTAATTCCAGATTTAATTTTTCCTAATTCATCTAAACATTTTAATTGAAGAAGATTTTGATTTTCTATTTCATAAGAATTTCTTATTTTTCCTTTGGAATATGGTGCAATTTGCTTATTTTTTAATTTTACCTTATTATTATTTATTAAATTATTAAGCCAACTATTAAATAGTAAATCAAAATATAAATATTATTTTTAATAATTAAATTAATTAATAAATATTATTTATAATATTTACCATAAAGCATAAGTTAAACATTCATAATCTTTATTTCTTTTAGATATATAAATAGCTTCTCGTAATGCCTATATAAATAAATATGTATATAAATAAATATATATTCTATAAATTTCTAATAAATAATTATTAATATTATAAAATCATAATATACCCTCTTTTCCATTTCTACTTCATTAAAATAGGAATGAAACATTGCTAAATTAATCAAAGCATATTGATATAATGTTCTAGTGAAAATATTAAGTCATAAAATCAATCAATCAATAAATAAATAAATAAATAAATAAATAATATTTTTCTAAAAATTATTGTATTATAAAAAAGAACATACTTGTCCTTGTTATAGTTTAATATACCACTATAATCAAAGAAACGATATAATTGTTCCAAAGTATTTTCTCTTTCTTTAGAGTATAAACAATTTAAAAAACTAAAAAATTAAAAAATAGTAGTAAAACTTATTTAATAAAACATATTATCCTCGAATTATATTTAAAAAAAAAAAAAAAAAAAAAAAAAAAAAAATACTAATTTATAGAATACCTTAAATAATGTGTATTTGCAATTGAAGGTAAATACATATGAATTTGAATAAGTTTTTGTTGTAATTCATTAGAAGGTATTTCACCACTACACTCTATGTAAAAAATTTAAATATTAAACAATGCTTTTTTTTTATCATAATTATTATTTATTAAAAACATAAATTTTTTGTATATTATATATTTACTATCTAATAAATCAATTTGACGATTTATAAAATCTTGTATATCAGTCAAAGGTATGATTTCTATACCAAAGCAAAACGAATATAAAAATTAATAATAATAATATAATAAAATAAACATTATTTATATATTATATATTTTAATACTTGAACTATTAATGACACTTAATTATATCAATATAAATAAATAAATTTTTTATACCAATATTTTCATTTGATATATCCAAATGTATTTGGTCATTATTAATTTTTTGTTTTTTATGTTTATGTTCTGGTATATTTCTATCAAATCTCTTAACATAATAAACAATACTTAAAAATAAATTACTGACATCATCAAATGCCATTTGATTAATTTCTAATATACTTTTTCTTATAAAGACACCTATTAAACTTGTCTTATCCTATTTTTTTTTTAAAAAAAATAATAATAATAATAATAATAATAATAAAAAATAAAAATAAAAAAATAAAAAAATAAAAAAAAATAAAAAATAATACGATAATAATAATGGATTAATATATTAAACCAATATACCTGAATTTTTCATTTTCAATTTTAAAATAAATTTCAATATTAAATATATTAATTTTTATCTTACAACATATATCTGTTGTTCAACCTATTTTTTTTTAAATTAAAATTAGTTTCAATATTTTAAATTAATAAATAATAAACATGTAAAAATTATATATAGTATACTTACTGAAACATCTATTAAAACAGTATTATCGATAATTAATTGTTTAAGTTCTTATTTATAATATTAATATATAATATAAAACAAAATTCATAAATACATTATACTTTTAGATATTACTTAGAATTTATAAAATTTAAAAGCATATACCAGAAAAAAAATTCAGTAGATTGTCAGGGGTTTGTATGCTACTTAACTATGTTTATTCATATATGTAAAAAGGTATATATATATAAATAAAATTTTATTATTTTTATAATATTAGTTTTTTTTTCTTTTTTCTAAATTAACTTTATGACTTACTTTTTTATAGACAGTACTTTTAATTAGTTCAATTTTTTCATTTTCTATATTGATATTATTATTAATTTTTTGAAATAATTGATATAGTTCGCATTTATGAAGTTTATTTAAATTCTATTGTACAAATAAAAATAAAATGAATTAATTTAGCACTTTACTCTAATTCAATTAGTAATTTTTTTTTTTTTTATTAAAAAAATATATATATATATACATTTAATTCATTGATTAAGAACAATAAAAGTTGGCTTAGAAAGCTTTTATATTTTTCATGGAAAAATTCTTTAATTATTATTAACAATGAAATTTTATATGGTGATAAAGATCTTGTAATAACTTTTTTTGTAATTGTATCTTTTAAGGTTTTATCTGAATTAAAAGGAGTATTATAAGATTGAGATATTTGATTTGAAGAATAAGGTGAAGTTATAGATTCAGGAATTGAAGGTGACGGTGAAAATGAAGCAAATTGGATATATGGTTGACCTTGTGGTGTAACATTATCATAAGACATTTTTTTTTTTTTTTATGATAACTTTAAATAAAAAAAAAAAAAAAAATAAATATTTATAAATATTTATTATATTACATATAGGACTTAAAATATATTATTATTATTATTATTATTATTATTATTATTATTATTATTATTATTATTATTATTATTATTATTATTATTATTATTATTATTATATTAAAATTTTAAATACTAATTTTTTATAATAATTTTATATTATATAATTAAAAAAAAAAAAAAAAAATATTTATCCAAAAATTTCAAAAATTTTATAAAAAAAATATATATATATAGATATATATAATTATTTATTAATAAAAATAGGAATGAAGCTTTTTTGCAATGTGACTTTTTGACAACAACGTTAATTTAAAACAATTAAAAAAATATCTTCTAAACATATATGAATAAATAAATAAGTAAAAATAAATATTTTTATTTTTTTTTCAATGGATTAACGAAAAGGGAGGACAACAGGGCCTCTAGATTCTCCCTTAAATGTATCAGCATCTCGCAGGGTTCTTTGTCATACCGTTTCGCAGAGACGTAAACCTCTCTCTAAGAAAGGCTAATATAAAAGACAATCCATATATGCCACTTTATATGGCGGGCTTCTTTTCAGTGATCTTTTTAACCATTATCGAGAGAGGAACAACTACACTTATTCTCTCACAGATCAAGTGTTCTCTCTACACTAGTAATTATATAATCTATCAATAGGATTACTTACCATAGCAAGCGAACACTAAATTTATTTACAGGGAAAACCACCCTGGAAGAATGAAAATCACCCATATAAATTCAGAAGGTAATCGCGGGGTCGATCCAGAAACTTTATGTGTATTAGTTCCGAGTATTTACCACCAAGGATAAAAACTGAAAAGACTAAAAATTAATTTACGAAATGTGTTCTGGATTTGAATCGAAGACTAATTGTTCTTCAGTCAATTGCTCTACCGCTGATCTAACACCCCATTAGATACAGTCTATGGTAAAAAATGACTATAAAATGATTATTTTGCTATGATTATACATAACTTAACCATTATTAATTTTATATTCTTTACTGATGGAACTTTCATTTATTCTTTCTTGAATTAAATTAAAAAATTATTATATTTATTATAAATTAATTAAATTATTATAATTTTAATTAAAATTTTTATAAAAATTATTATTATAAAATCTTTATTGTATCTTTATTAAATTAATATAGAATTCCACAAAAAATCATAAATACGTCTATTAACAAAATTCTTTATTGAAGTTTTACTAAAATTATTTTTATATTCTTATCATATATTTATCAAATTAATTATTATTAACTTTTAATAATATTTTATTATAAATTAATATCAACTTTTATAAAACTTAAAGTAAATTATCATTTAATAATTATAACATTTTATGAAATATAATTAATATTTATAAAATTTTAATTTAATTAAAATTTTTTTAGTTATTTATTATAGTAATAGTAATAGCAACAATTATAAAAATAAATAAGAAATAATTTAAATAGTATAATTAATTGAATAAATTTAGTTATTTAATAAATAATTAATTTGTATAAAAAAATTAAATATTGTTTTGTTTAGTTTTCTTTTATTTTAAATTGGTAATCTTATGTGTACAATATTTTGTTTTTCTCCATAATTAAATATTTTTTCCAACCTTTTCATCTATATTACAAGGCCAAATGAAAAATTTGAAATAGATATTAATAATTATAATAGTAAATTAATAAAAACAAATTAATGTATGCAAAAATAAAATTACATAAATAATGCAAAAATGGTTAGAAAATATAAAACAAAAAGAAAGAAGAATTTTATTGGTTATCAAAATATTATAAATAAGAAAAATAGATCAGAAACATTTTAAATTGAATTTAATTGAATTGGAATTTTAATAGAGTAGAATTTTAAATATTTAAATAAAAAAAGTTGATCATCCTTAAAAGTGAAATTTTAAGATTTATTCAGTGTTTTTAAATAGAGTGTATTAAATGATATATATTTTTTGATGGTACATTTTTATTGCCCCTAAATTTAGTTATCAAATATTTATTACAAGAACTTACGCTAAAGAATTAGATAGTTTTTACACTACTTCTTTTGCAATATTACAAAATAAAGAACAAGAAATATATAAAATATTTAAAAAACTAAAAAAAAAAAAAAAAATGCTAATACATGTAACAATAATATTATAATTGCAGAATCAATAGTTATTTAAATAATTTATTTCTAACAATACCATCTTATTATAAATTAATAGATAAATTAAATGAACTTGAACATTTACCATATTATGATTATCAAAAAAAAAATAAGAGGAATTTGTAAAATAAAAAAAGAGCAATAAATAAAGCTAATGAAATCAGTGTCTTAATTGAACGCTACAAAAATATTGAGACCAAGTTAATTGATACTAAATGTGATAGAAATAATACTACTAATTTGTGGTTTGATTGTTTAACTGATTTAAATAATATATTATAAATATTATTTTATAATAAATAATTAAAAAATGAGGAATAACCAAACGAAATAATCAGAATTCTGTCATTCAAAAATTTAATTTATAAAGCTTATTAAATTTATACAGTTTAAATAAATATTCAAATACGTCTCTATAATTAATAATTTTATCATGATAATTATTATTTTTTTTAATAACATTTAAATATAAAAGAATTATTATTAATAATATTTATATTTTTAATAACATTTGTATTTTTATATAATTTTTTTATTAATAGCATTTAAATAAAAGAATTAAAATCATAAAATCTAACCATTATATGATTTATTTAACTATTCACTTAATAATAAATTTAAAATTTGAAATAACAAAATAATACAATAAAATAATATTATGTAGCATAAAATATCTATAGCCACAAATATATATATATCACGTGATAATTGGCATAATGCAACCTCCCCTATAAATAGTATTAAAAAAATTGATGGTATATATGGATATGGATTGCAATTATAGTATAAATATTAATAATTATTATTTAAGGAAATATTTAATAACTATGTAAAATAATAAAAGAATTAAAACATTGATTTATGTTATAAGATTTATTATTAATTGTAAGTATAATTAATATTTATAAATCAAGCCACATATTAAGAATATTATAAAATCATTAGATTTAAAATTGTCTGAATAATAAAAACTATTTAATATTAATTAAGGTTTGAGTGTTTCATTTTTATTAATTGTATATTATTAATAATTATTAAACTATTAAATAAAAATTTAATATTCATTCATATAAATATAATCTATTAAACTATAGATTGATATTAAAGGAATTGTTAAATAGTTATTTAATTATTGAATATTCTGTTAGAAATAAAGTTTAATATATGAATATTATTCTTGTTATTAAACAAAATAACATATATAAATTTTATGTATAAATAGTATAAATTATTAAGATATTAACTATTATATAAATTGTAATATGGCGCATGTATGACGTACATAAAACATTTATGTAATAACACATAAAATAAAATTGTGATATAATTAAAATTTATGTAGTAAAAATATATATAAAATATATAAAATAATATTAATAATAATTATTAAAAAAAGTAGTTAACTATAATTATAAATTAATAAAATAAAAATATTAATAAAATAATAATAAAATTTGAAATTACGAAATTTGAAGTGTTAATTCTAATATATTCATTTATTATTTGTTCCAAAAAAAAAAATAAAAATGTATTAATAATGTATCATACATTTTATATTATTGGAAATCATTTTTAAATACATTATTTTGATTAATTATATGAAAGATTAAACCAATAAAATATATGATTATTTAATATATAAAATTGTTTAATTTAACTTTAAATTTGAAATATCAATATATTCCATTGAATTAACAAATATAATTAAATACAATAATTTATTTTTTATAAATATTAAAAGATTTTTAAATTTTTTGAAATAAGAAATGTTAATTATTATTATACAATTTGTAATATAAAAAAATGATGTAATAATTGTCATATTTAGTATTAATTGGATAACATATTCTATATAACTAATGATTTTTTTTTTTTTTTTTTTTTTTTTTTGAAGAATAAACTTTATTAAATAACATTTATAAAAAAAAATAAGGTTTAACTAATGACTGACAAATATTTTTATTTCTAATAGATTTATTATATATTATAATATAAATATAAAATATCAAAAAGTTATATATTCAAAAGAAAAATTCTATTATCAGTACAAGATCTTAGAACTGGAAAAGAAAAACTCAACAGATAATTTAAAAAAAATAAAAAAGAGCTAAAAATATAATTAATAATAATATTATTATCATTTATTATTATTTTATTTTTATTAATAATATTCAAATAAAAAAAAAAAAAAAAAAAAAGAAACAAGGTGGGAGAGATAGTTTTTGATGAATTTTTTTTTTTTTTTTTTTTTTTTTTTTAGACTTGGAATAACCTTTATTTAATAATATTATAAAACAAATATATATGATATAATATATTATTTATTTATTATTATATATCTTTTAAACATGGAATACTATAAATAATATTATAATTTTTTTTATGACTAAGAAGAGAAGGTTTCCATTTCTTTATTAATTGTTTATTAAAATAAAATTTTAATATATTTATAATGTATTTTTTCACTAAAATGTATACAATATATTAAGATAAAATAATTTTATCTTAATATAAGAATATATAAAAAATGTATCAAATAAAAAAAATATTAAAATAAAATTTAGTAAAAAATAAAGTTAGTTCAATACAATGAAAATAAAAAGAAAATTTAAAAGTTATTGTGGTTATTGATATGAATAGTGATAATTTCTATCAAATTATTTAATATAATAAAAAGAAGTAACATCTGTGAAAAAAGATAGTGTGAAAACCACTAAACTCTTCCTCGAACCAAGAGAAATATTATCCGGAGATTCAATTTCTGTAGATTCGGTGAGTAAAGAATAATTATTACTATTTGTACTAAGATGTACTATGAGGAGTGGTAATAGAGGTTCTTCTTTGCCATATCGGTTCAACGTTGACTCATTTTTTTTTCTTTTTTTTTGGAAAAAAAATAAATTTTATTTAATAATTTTTTTTTTTTTTACAACCGCAATTATTGCGAACTTCATACTTTATTGATATATATTCATTTTATTTAATGATATTTATTAAATAAAATACATGAAATTTTTTTTTTATATAATATAAAAATATTATAACTTTCAAGGACAAAATAACCTCTAACTAGGAATGCTGTTACTTACATCAAAATAAGGGTAACATGTTAGGCAATCTTCTTATACAAATTTGCTTTTTACATATGGTTCACAAAAAAAAAAAAAAAAAAAAAAATTGGGGATTTGAATTGACTATCTGAAATAAATTATGGTCTTCTCCTTCAGAGGTATTGACCCTGCTAGCCTGTCTTACTGCATTCTGACGCTCATTTTGACGCTCCTGGTTAGTTTGTGCTTATACCGTCGGAATAGCAACGCTTGTAGAGTACTAGCCCTAGGCATAATTTCTGCAAAAAGAGCCACAGATCCCACCAGGAATGGCGTTTTAGAATAATCACTAGAAATGATTTGATTATTAAACAAAATATCTCATTGCTTTTTATAATTTAAATCAATAATGTCTGTTTTTTTTTTTTTTTTTTTTTTTTTTTTTTAACGGCAGCAAACTTGTTTCATCTTTATTAATTAAATATTTGATAAAATACATGTAATAAAATAATAAAAAAAAAAAAAAGATAAAAAAATAAACAAAAAATAAAACACAAAATAAAAATAAAATAATGGTATAATATATTCTAGTTTCATTTAATTAATATTTGTAAGACTTCACAAGGGCATTATTATACTGAAGTATAATAATTAACTTTGACTTCGCAATGTTAATCATAATTTTAAGATACAAAATTATGA